TTAAAGGATACCTGTATTTTTATACTAAAGGATACCTGTATTTTTATATTAAAAGATACCTGTATTTTTATACTAAAGGATACCTGTATTTTTATACTAAAGGATACCTGTATTTTTATACTAAAGGATACCTGTATTGTTATACAAATGAATCCTAACTGTCTCCGCTCGACATCTCCATTCTAGCTATAGCCTCTTGTACTTCAAACCAGAGGGTGATGAGTCCAATTACTGCAATCAACGCTCCTCTGGGGGGGGACTCTGTTCGCAGCTAGTGGGGAGGTGTAGTTCTGGGTATGTGTGACCCATTCTCACTTCCCATGGCTGCTTTTCTGTTAGGGCCTATAGAGAGTAGGACATGCATGCACTGTACCAAATGGCCCCGCTTGAAATGGCTGACAGGTTCACTTTAATATCTTGCTTTTAGAAGCACCAGCTCCCTATCCTTAAAGAAGTTGTAAAGTCCCAGCATATCCTCTCCTGTTATAACATCAGCACTGTAATAGGAATACATACTAGAGTTGTTTTTCATAATGCAATCAAAGCTCACTTGAAAAAAATCCCTTTTTTTGGAGTGAGTGCTGCCTTCCATCTGCCCATCACTTTCACAAACTTCCTGGATTCCCAGAGTGCTTTGCATCTCTTTCCCTGCTGTGATGTGATACACTCTCCATTTCTCATGGCTACATCTCCCCATCATCCATTGCTTCCAGCAAGCCATGATAATGTTACATTGTTTGAACGTTGAGTTGTAGCTCAGGAGGCTCAGGATCACCTGGCTTGTGCAATCTAAAGTCTAAACCACAATGGATGGTACTCAGCACCACTTCTCCACAAGTGCATATAACTAGAAATACAAAGAAGACACCATCCAATCTCGATCCAACCATAATCTTTGTTAAAGGTGCCCATACACCTTACAATTACACCTTTTCCATCTGACCACAGAAAATCTGCAGATAATTGTAAGGAGTATGGCCAGCTTTACAATGCCCTCAAATCGGGGGTAGCCCATGAAAAATGATTGTGCCATGTCAGATGCTCCAATTGGAAGAAAAGTGATTCTAGTCTTCTATCCTAAAATTAGGAATATATCCCCCCTTATATTTCAGGTTTTGGATGAAAGCAAGACATGCAGAAACCTCCTGTTTGAAGAAGGCTGCACTGTGTCTAGAAAAAAACACCCAATGAGCAGATGATTGTACTAAGTAAAGTATATACAGGACACAGTGATAATTGGTGTAATTAGAGTGAGAACTCAGTCTATCCTAATCCTGCACTTCCTATATTTTAATCAAGATATCTATTTTCCTAGAAGAGTACATATACTATTATTCAAGCCATAAAAGATTGCAGGGTTAGATGCACAGAAGGGATCTCAGTCACCACATATATGCTAACCATATGTCTACAGTTGACATATACGTGTTTAACTACTAACACAAGATAGGTAATGGTAACCAAACACCTGGAAATTCAGGTTTTTTTTTTACAAATTAAAGATTTAATATAAGAGAAGACAAGCATAAGACACAATAAGAAAAATCAAAAGGCATAGTTATAGAAGGGCCATCAACTTCAGGGAGTCCTTGATAACCTCCAAATTGCAACTGATCCCTTTGGTGTGACATGGGAACATTTGTTTGGGCACTAGAAAAGACAACAAAGCTTTCTCTTTGTACTAGTTCTAGGAGGCAGAGGATGTTGTCAGAGAAAGGGAGGGATGGGGACAAGAGAGACTTGGAGGAAGGGCAGGGTTGGTGGGATGGAAGAAGAGAAGTAGAAATGCTCTCTGGAGTACATTTCTGAGTCCCTGAGTGGGAAAGAAAGGAGGAGAGGGGCAGCACAGCACTCGCCCTGTCAACAAAACCCATCAAGCATAGTCTCTCAGAACAGATAGGTTACCTGACATTGTGGATATACACTAGGCACTGGTATGAATCCATTACCAAAAGGGGGACAACGTTCCTAAGGAGTTCTTCAAAAGGTTGCATGTGCCACAGAATGGTTTCCTACTGTGTGATTAGTGAACAAAAGTCAGCCAAGCCCATGAAAAGGATCCAGAAAGCCCACAAGTCATTAAACCAACCATGGGTATCATATACTGTAGCTGGGCTGCAACATTTTCCATTTGCATCAGTGCACAGAGTTTTCATACCTAGTCACTAATGGTAGGGGTCGTAATGGAGCATCAGTGTTTTGGAATAAGGCTACGTAAGGCAGCAACGAAGAAGCAGAGCTAGAAATATGATACTACAATCCCGGTAATATTATTAATTATTTATAAGCTTTTGTGGGATAGTTAGGCACCTTCACCCCTGAGACCAAGAAGTAGATATTAAAAATAGCCTCCCAAAGCTGCTTAAACATTCCATCAAACATTCAGCATGGTGCCTTTGGGGGCCTTACAATGGCACACTTACAATGGCAACACTTGGAAGACGTTTGTGGAAGGATCCGATGTAGGTTATATTGACATTTATACCAACAAGTTAATATTTTATATCCCTTTCCTTGTATGTTCATAAGTGATTACAACAGCCTTTGAGATTTCTGCTGGCATGAGCTCGGATTCTAATTCTCGTTTTTCCTTCTCGTTTTTAATGAGAGAGTCACTTTAAGCGATTGTTACCAGTCCTGCCAAAACAACACAATGGTTGATACCTGGGGGGCACATGAAGACTTTTACACGATTATCCCTTTCGCTGGGTTATTAAGACTTGCATGGCCTTAACGGAACCAGACCCAACCCATGGAGACTGCTGCTTTGGCATTTGGGGCTTGGTCACCACATGAGTCTCTACAAGTATAGGGAGGAAGACTTCAGCCAATTATCACTAGGAAATGTATGTAAACAACCCTCTGATAAAGAGGGCACAGATGAATATCACAATGGATAATCATTTGATAGACCCAAGCTCAGGCTCAAATGTACAAAAGAAATTCCTGCGCAGTTGTTGCCATTAATGTGTAAAGTAGTAGCATCGCTTGCATCTACAAACAGGCCAGTAATGTAAAGCACAATAACATTTGTAGAAACTCATGACAACCAATCAAATGTAGTTATCTGCAGTTATCATCTGGAGATTGATGGATAATGCTGTTATGATATCTTGTACATTGTTTTTCATGAGCTCGGTGTGCTACCACTTTGGCCAAGAATTGCAAGGCCTTCACAAACCACTCTTTTTTTATGGAGATACTGATGGCAACCTTGTCCCATCATTTTATAACCCCTCATTAGGTCACTCTACTTTCAATTGTCCAATTAGCCAGTAGTTTTCATACCATGTCTATCCTTGCCTAAGCGTTACACTGTCCATGAGTTGATACATACGTCCCCACATGGCTTCCAACATTCAAAAAGTAGGTCCACTTTAAGATATCCCATAAAAAGGAACATTATGAGTTCTCTATCATTTAAATTCTTTCCTAGATGTTACACCACCTGATAGTTGATAAATGCCTCCCACAGCTATGGGTGTGCTACTGTCAGAATACCTGAACAGTGACTGCAGCTGATACCTGAACTCCGACAATTCCCTATCCACCCTGCAACATCAGGGTTGCCTTACACTATCACAGTATCTCCTCCCTAATCACCCGCCACTCTTGTATCAAATGAGCTAAACCTTCCATACACCACCTCATCTTCCTCTATACTAGATACACAAAATGTATCTGGGCACCTAGCCCTTACACTAGTTAACGTTGCAACGATTGCACTTGTAATATCTAAATTATATTTAAGATAGCTGTTTGACAGTTTTCATACATGAAAATGTTGTACATTCCAACAGCACTCCCATGTGCAGTGGTACTTCGGCTCATGAACGGTTGTTCGCGAACAGGAAGTTCAGCAAAATTTTGCTTCAGTTCGCGTACTCCGCATCGGGTGACGAACACAACCGCAGCTATCTTCCCTGTTTTGACACTGGTCGTGGCTTCCTCTAGGCAAGATCACGTTCTGATCACAGTTTGATTCGGTTAGTGACCAGAATACTGGAACGAATTAAGTAAATGAACCTAGGTACCACTGTATATATACCACAATGGTGCCCTCTTTCCCCTCCCTACCAACCCATATCCCACCCCTCAATTCATAACGGATATTACCCTAATCTTCAGTGGTTATACTGTGTCAATTAACTGTTAATGTGCAAAGAGTACTGTACCAATCTCAACACTGTAAACCACCAACCCCCTTTTGTGTAATAAAATCTAATAAAATAATTGTAAAATAAATCAGAAGAGACATAAACATACAAAAATAACATGTAAATCATTAATTTTTTAACTAGAGAAAAAGTCTATATTTTTTTTATACATATGATTGATGCCCCTTAGGTACAGGGATGCCAATATCATTATCGAAGGAGGTATAAAAGGCATTTGAAAAAAAAAAAGTTGACAGATTTAATATATCTGATAACTCTGGTTGCAAGGCTATGGCAATATTTAGACACTTATGCACATCATATAGACTACATTTTGACATATCGGTGTCCATTCTGGCATACATTGAGCGGAATATTTCCCTTAGCATACCCCTGTTCTGTGCCTCAGTGCACAGCAAACTGTATTAGGATTCTGTGGTTACAGAGCAAGAAGAGATACCAGGAAAGAAAGAACAAGCTAAGACCTAAAATGTATTTCAGGTTCTTGTGAAACTAGTAAAAAGGATTTCTCTTTTTGTTTTTTAAAAGGAAGATTTAAACTTTTCTATTGTTTTGAGTGAAAACAAAGTAAAAAAGGGGGGAAAAAAGTTGCTTAAAGTTTTTGCTCTCTTTTTTTAGATCTTCCCCCAGTTTTTCACACTTCCTTACGTAATGTCTGGTCCAACCCATTGACTTAACACTCACACAAGCCGGGACTTACAGACTTTTTTTTTTTTTCCTTTGTTCCTCCTCCCCCCCCCTTTTTCCTCCTCCCTCCCTCCACCCC